TGGAATCGATCTTTTCTCATCACCTTCTTGAATATTAAATTGCCAACTAGCTAGTGTCCTGGCCCCATGCAGTGCCTCATGTTGCTCTCTGGCTCCATGATAAAACTATGAAAATGAGAATCTAATGATTTTGCTCCTATGCTTAAAGTTCTTTCAGGATGCTCCACTGTCTTCACAACAAAAGCCAAGCTCCTCTGAATGGCAAATCCAGGTCCTTCATGGAGTGGCCCCTGCCCTCATTTCTCCTTATGCCCCAGCCCTTTAGTGTGTGTACATGTAGAAGCATATGCACGTACACAATGCATGTACCTGTACATGTGTGCATACACACACAGGCATACAAAGATTTTTCAGCCAGAATACTTGCAGGTGATGTCTCAATGAACAACCGACTTCCATGGCTCAATATGCTGCTATGCTCTTTGTTCTAGCTAAAAAGCCTCTTCACCTGTTCCAGTAGCACTTGTCAAAATTAAACCCCAAGGGAAAATTAAACTTTACATGAATTACCTACACAGGAAGACACTTTCTCTTCTCTTTTCCCTCTGAATTCAGTGCATTTATCTATAAGTCTTACCACAGTGCTATGATTAATTTCTTCATTAAAGTCTGCTTCTGCTTTTCCCCCTCTGGACTCTAGGTTCCTCAAAGTCATAGCAATGCGCTAATTATTTTCATATTCTCAGTAACTGTGACTGATTCTAGTGCACAGTAAGTGTTCAATAAGTATTTGAAGAATAGATTAATGGAGAAATGGACAGATGGATGAATGAGAGGCAGGATAACACAGTTAGGTATAATTTGGGGGCCAAGCAGGCCTTATATTTGGGACCCAGCTCTTCCATATGACTTTGGATAAGTCACTTAACCCTTTTAAATACTGTAATATGTAAAATCTGTACAACTGGGGAAATTATACTACCTAACTCATAGGGAAATGACAAATACTAAATGAAATAATACATATATATATATATATATATATATATATATATATATATATAACACAATTGTGGAATGTAGAAAGTGTTAAGTGCTAAGTGTTTTTATTATGAATAGGAATAACTTAGTTCCAGTGACAAATATATTACACACATACGGACTGAACAAAAATTAGAGAGAGAGAAAGAAAGAGAAAGAGAGAGAGGCCTCTGGAAGAAGAGGAATCCAAATTTTTCTTTAGAAAGAGAAAGGAAGACTAGTTGGAGAGTAGATGAAATCTGGAAAAGTCTTCTGAGGCTTTGCAGTTTAGGTATATCACCTGATATCAATGTTTGAAGCCATTTTTAAGCAGTCCATTGGAACTGAGAATGGGTTGAGGCATTGCTTCTATTGTCGAAATAACTAAGATTATCCTTTGGTGGTAAACCATGTCAAAGAGGAATAATTATGAATTTTATCATAAATAATATTCTTTTCCCTAAAGAATTCTAAGATTAAGCATTCCATGGAACTTGATCTTCATGAAAACCAAATAAAGATATTCAACATTTTATTCCTACATTTTCACAATATTTTTAGATATATTATGATTAAACTTCCAGAGCCACCAGATCATGTTTTGCTGGCCTAACTGCTAAAATGGTGGCAAGTCATTTGCGAACAAAATTTTGCCAAATGTCTTCAACCACTTTTCATCTCCAAGCTGTACTCACAAGGATAAGAATATTTATAGCTACCCTCTGGTTTAAATACATTATAAACCTAAATGCTTCGAAGTTATTAACGGCAACATCAGCTAATAAATGAGCAAAAAACTTAAGTTTCATTATCTCTACTTATTTCCTCTAACCTATGAATCAACAACATTTATTTTGCATTAAGTATACATTCATTTTCTTCTTTTCAATCACCTCTTTCTGACAATGATCACACCTATTCATGCTCCAAAAATTTTCATGATGCAATCTTCAAATACATCTTGATGAGAATGGATGTGCCTGGCTTTGGCAATAGGTCAAATGCAAGATCACAAATGTGAGAATATGATTAATGAACATTATTATATTTTAGAACAATGTTTCCCAGCAGGGAACACTTTTTTTTTTAATGGCGCTCCATTAAAACACACACACATTTAAAGAACTGGTCAGTTCTCTTCTTCATGAATATTTTTCCCCTAAATAACATACACTCTTTTCCCTGTTTCATTATCCATTAAATGTCTCTTGATAACCAGATGCCTGAGATTATAGGGACAATATGCTGACTAGAGATCCTCCCCCTCAATCCAATAACCACCATTCATTTACCAGCTTATATTAACCAGAGTAGAGTGAGTCTCACTTTAAGAAGAGCATATATACTATGCTTATATAAACATCACTGTATAATACAGGGCAAATAAGTTCTTCTTAAACCATATTTTAATTCTTAAAACATTTCTCACTAACAGAATCTATATTCAGCAAGTCAGTAAAACAAGCATAAAAATGAGGGAAAAATCTCAATATAAATAGGTTATTACACTGTGAATGAGAGCAACAAATACTAATGATCTGATTAAATTTTCAGCTTTCCAGAAATTTTTGCATGTCATGAAATGACAAATTCCTTGACCTAAAGTTATCCTCAGCAATGAATACAAGATAGTATATTTAAGAGTCTCTCATGAGAGACTAAATGAGAATATTTAAAACAATGAATAACCCAAAAATAGCTTAAATCAGGTCTAGACAGACACAAATACCTGCCCACTTATAATTATTGACTGACTCTTTATACAACTGTCTCTTCTATCATAGTATTCTCTACATGGGCATTACTTACATGCCCAGAGTTGTTGCTCCTATCCTCATGCTCTTCCCTGGATCAATTTAACACCCTTTAGGCAATGCAAATAGAATTGTATTATTCTTTCTCTGTTCTATCAGCACCTCCTAAAATTCTACTCCCAAACTAGACATTATATGGGCAGTGGGAGGATGCAAATGCTTAATATTCTATAACTTAAATAAACCAATTATATTTCATACAGAATTTTTATATAAATATATTCAGATCCAGAAACCTTTCATTAGCATGCTTCCATTTGGTAGTTTGGTAAGTTGCAATTCATAATGATGTTAAGTGGTCACCAAAGTAGTGCTTCACATCAGCATCTAGCAATAATTTAGAGATATTAAATAAATAGTTCTTCCCCAAATATTATTAAGGGCAGGTTGACAAAAGTATCCTGATAGGAGTTACCTTCTAAGAACAATGAACAAGCCATTTCCTAAAGGTGTTTGAAAACATGCAAGTCTAGTTAATGCTATTTGCAATTTTAAATGAATAATAACACTTGCAGCTAGAATGAAGTATTGTTATGTGTCAAGCGCCGTTCTAAATATTTTTGTGTTTATTAATTTACTTAATCTTCATAACACCCCTGAGTGGTAGTTCTTATTATCTGTCCTTTTCTTTATAGGTAGAAACTGAAGCAAAGAGGATTAGGTGACCCAAGTCACAAAGTACAGCTGGTAAGGCAGTCTGTTTCATAGTCTGTACTCTTACCACAACATGGTGTATGTGGCATCAATGGATGACTTTTATTCTATTAGGCCACAGATGGCCCCCAAAAAACAAAACAAACAAAAAAATTACCCTAAGGATTAAACACTGACAAAGGACAGTCACATGGTATCGGTATCTCTGTTAAGTATCAGAATGAATCACATCCCTATCAAAAAAGTAGCCTATGAACAAGAAGGATACATGTAAGAACACATAGCTAAGGAAACCTAGAGAAATGGTTGGAAAAATATTACCAATGGGTAATCTGAGAAGCTGTGATTCCCCTCTTCAAGCAAAGTTATCAGGGGGAGAGTAAGCCTAAGAGGCAGAAGAGCAGGCATCACTGGCCTCTGCAAACAGCAGCTGGGGGCAAAAATACTGAGAGATGTGTGTCAATCTCTTCAGGCTCCTCCATGCTCCCTGCCATAAAAAGTAATATATGCATGGAATGCTGTCCAGGCTTTGTATGTCCCTCAGGAGGGTCCCCATGAAGGGACTAGAAGATTGTTTCTAGAGATTAAATCTGGATTAATATCAATACAATGAGCAGATAATTCAGATTCTGCACTTATTTTCTTTATCAGAGTTAAGTAAATATCATCAAGGCTAAGTATTAGGGAAAAAATTATTCTAGAAAGTGAAGTTCAGTGGATACTTGAACAAACTGCCAAGCCAAAGAATGAGTCATTTAACACAGTGATTGGTTTTGATGAAATTATGTATAAACCAAGCTCTAGTTCTTTAAGTTGGTGACCTTCCTTTTCTATATCACATACCAATTGATTCCTTCTTCAGCTTGTTGTATACTAGATAGTAAATAGAGTCAGACATTCATGAAGTAAACTGCTTCAAGTAGTGAGTGATCCAAGCTTCTCAGTATCCATCAGCTTTTAGGGAAAAGGATGCCTAATAAAAATCTACTACTTCCTTATTTTCTGGGAAGATGAAGGTATATTTCTTCAATCCATAAATATACTTGTGGCATCTAAGAGAAGAAAAGGTCTACCCGTATAAGAAATGGTCAAGAGATTTCACTTCCCATAATTATAAAGATAGTAAAGAGGAATATATAGAAATTACTAAAATCATATCTAACATATGGTTATTTGAAAACCATTTATTACAATATGAATGAATCCTTGCATTCAAAGTCTAAAAAAAACAGAAAACCAGGTGAGGGATCACCCACAACATACCTGTCTCTGTTGTACAGAATCAAGCAAAAAGAAGCATAATCCGACACCAATGCAATTAACTTACAGTCTGCACTCTGCAAATACTCCTAGTCATGGCTGGGCTGTCCTGCAGGCAAGTCTTTTTGCTCTGACCCAGCTGTGAGGAGCTGGAGACATTATGGTGCAGGAGATGCCCTACTTAATTAAGTCAGGGTATTCTAGCTTTTTCACAAAACCTTACAAAGAAAATATTTTGGTATTGCCTTCCCAAATCTCTCCCATTACTACACCCATCCCCTTCTCAATACTCAGAGAATTCCTAGTTCTTACTTGGGATACTTTCTTGATTGAATAACAGGCAGAATCTCAGAGTCTTGATTAGGTGGAGGAAGTAGTAAATCTCGAAACCTTTCTGTCAAAAGAAAAATAAACATCAGGTTATGAAAAAATAAAGGTCATGAAAATAATTTCAAAATGCAATTATTACCTATTGTTTTAATTTTCCAACTATTTTGATTGTACATCTGTTATTAGAAATGTGCCCATCATTTTGTATAGTACTAAAATATGTCTATTTCATTTTAATGACTATATCTTTTTAAGATTAAGATATTGCAACAACTGCCAATGCAAAAATAAAAAGTATCATTAGGGATGCCTGGGTGGCTCAGCTATGGAGCGTCTGCCTTTGGCTCCGTGCATGATCCTTGGGTCCTGATGCGTGATCCCACATTAGGCTCCCCGCAGGAAGCCTGCTTCTCCCTCTGCCTATGTCTCTACCTCTCTCTCTCTCTCTCTCTCTCTCTCTCTCTCTCTCTCTCCCTCTGTGTCTCTCACGAATAAATAAATAAAATGTTTTTAAAAAGTATTCATTAGTATAGACTAGTAAAATCTTATAATTGAAAGATTAGAGGAAATACTTATGACCAATAAATATACCGAAAAGATGCACAATCTCATTAGTATCTTGAGAAGTGCAAATCCAAGCCATATACCATTAGCATTCATATTACGTGGCATTTGATTGACAGAAATGAATCCCATAGGATCAAGTATTAAAGAGGATGTGGATCAATGTAAGCTCTCATATAGGCAATACAAGTTGGTACAATAGTTTTAGAAAACAATTTGCGATTATGTTCTAAGTTTAATCTCTGTATACCTACGAGCCAATATTTCCATTCCCAGGTATACACTCTGCAGAAACTTTCACATAATGTCTTAGGCAGCCAGTAAAAGAATATTCATAACAGCACTGTCCGTTACAACATAAAGAGATATCACAATTGCCCATCAACAGGAGAATGGACAATTTGCAACACATACACACAAAGGAATATTAATTGAAGTGAAACTGAATTTAAAAAAAAAGAAACTAAATTCACTTACAAATAAAAATATAGTAAAATGGTGAGTGGAAAAAAATACTAGTAGATTACATACAGAAAAATGGCATTTGTTAGTTTAAAAACAACTAAGTAATGTATTGTTTAGAAATGTTACATAACAAAACAAAGGTAACCAATGAAAAAAAGAATTACTATACACAATCCAGGATAATGGTTATCTTTTTTTTTTTTAATTTTTTATTTTTTTTATAAATTAATTTTTATTGGTGTTCAATTTACCAACATACAGAATAACACCCAGTGCTCATCCCGTCAAGTGTACCCCTCAGTGCCCGTCACCCATTCACCCCCACCCATGGTTATCTTTTAGAAGAGGTAAGAAGATGAAATAGGAGAAAAGCAACAGGTAGGTCATAATTGTTATTTCATATCTATATGAAACATAGATATGTATATAAAATATATCTATAGTATCATAAAGGAGTAAATGAATGTGGACCAGAGATCATTCAATGATGACATTAGCCCACAAACCAAAGCTTTGACTAATAAAAATTCCATGCTTATGAAATTTATAACGAAAGAAGGAGGGAAAGGAAGAGGAAGAGAAGAAGGGAGAGAAGAAGGTAGGGAAGGAGAGAGGGTAGAGAGAAAGGAAATGTGGGGCTAAGGGAGAATAAGAATGTGGGGATCCCTGGGTGGCGCAGCGGTTTGGCGCCTGCCTTTGGCCCAGGGCGCGATCCTGGAGACCCGGGATCGAATCCCACGTCGGGCTCCCAGTGCATGGAGCCTGCTTCTCCCTCTGCCTATGTCTCTGCCTCTCTCTCTATATCTGTGTGACTATCATAAATAAATAAAAAATTTAAAAAATGTTAAAAAAAAAAGAGAATAAGAATGTGGAGGAAGGAAGAATTCTCAGTTCTACTTTAGAAATAGTTGTACCGCATAACAGAGTGGTCTATCACTCTGATGCTGATCCCACATTTCCAGAACTAGGTACTACATTTTTATTGTTACATATGATTGTGTATCCACCTATTCTTGTCCTTCTAGTAGATGGGTATTGCACCACCAGGATATAGAACATTATCTGACACCTATTAAAATGCTAGATAAATATTAGTTGAAATGATATTTCCATTTTTACTGCATAAAGAAAATTGTAAAGGTTAATCATAATACCTTCCAGAAAAGCCCAACTGGTCATCTATCAACCATGAAAAGCAAGGGTACTGAAGCTCCAGCCTTGACAGGGTCACATGGTCAGGCTGAGAGAAAGGGAGCAAAGCCAAAACTCCAAGCTGCAGTAAATCGATTCATCAAGAACTGAAGATGGATAATTTTGACAAAATACTTGTCGGCAGTTGATGACAATTGCCACCTCCCAGTTACTGAACAGCCAGATGTTAAACATTTGTGAACACAGTTGTTACAAAGTATGCTGAGAAGCAGGATGGGGATTTATCCTTATATTTATTAAAATGTACTGAATCAGATATTTAGCTGACTCTGCTGCTTGTTATCACCACTCGGACATTCTTATAGTACACACAGGAAGTAGCTAAGAAAATCCTAAGAGAGCTGGTTGTACTCTAAGCCCACAGATCTAAGAAAGTATAATTTATTTTTCTCCTTCAAGTACACTTACTCATTGAATTCCTATTTTTAAAAATTAAATTATACTGACTGATATACTATGCTATTTTTAATGAGCAGAATGAATGCTTATTTCAATGAAATGACTTGTAAATTCTTCCAATATGACCCTTGTCTTTCAGTCCATTTCTCAATTTAGGTAGCATTTCATTAATGGAGTGATTTATAGTGTTTCTCCTTTTCCTTTTCCCCCCTCCACTTATGACTTTCCAACAAATCTTGAAAAATAGAGCCAAAACCCAACAGCAAACATGAACTTTATATATCAAGTAAAGAAAGAACTGTTCAATCAAACAACTATATTGAATATAATATATTGCTGGGTGCTAAAAATACAAGTTAAAGTTTTATTGGAGTAATTCTCAAACTGATTTAAAATGCAAAGAAAAATCAGAATTCTTAATGCAAACAACCATAAATGGAGGTTCTTCCCTGTTTATATAATCATAAAAAATGTGATTGTAAATCTGAAAGATAATCTCTGGAGATAACATTATATTGATAGGCTTTAACACACACACACACACACACAGAGCAAAAGTAGCATATAAGATATTATTTGTAAAGCTACCCAACTATGAAATCTATAATGAATATTCTTATACTTGATGCATCTTTTAATCTGAATATCATAAATGCAAGCAACACTAAACAAACATTAAGATCCTTCAGTAGCTATCATGAATGTCAAGAAAATTTCTAAATATGCACAATTAACTCTATCCCATAAAGGTAGGATGATTGTTTACTTTATGAGAATAAAAATAAATGATAAAAATTATCCTTAGAAAAACCCAAGTAAATGAAAAGTTGTTTATAATTCTTACATCGATCCTTTTAAGTCTCCCAGATTTCTGCCTATCAACGAATTAATAAACATCCTATTGTTTATCTTATGTTGGGAAAAAGACCAAAATAAACTGGTGTTTCCTTTCTTAAGTAGTAGGATTTTTAAAATAATATTTCTTCTCTTGCAGCAAATGTCACACCAGATGATCTGCTTTCTCAGGAGACCCAAAGTCTCTTTCTTAAGAAAATGGCAGTTATCTGAATGCTAGATCACAATCCTTTCCCTGGGCTCTTAGAATAATTTCATTAAAGCCACTGAAAAGAACTGGAGGATTTTCTGAAAAGTGATATTTTGATGAGTTGACTAATGATGAGATAATGTCTGAACATGATTGTCTACCAGTCGGGGATAGATCTTAATTAAAATAAGCTTTTGTAGACTTTCACCCACTCTTCCCTTCTCTCATTCAATCAACCAAAAGACTGTGAGGCTATCAGACTGGATGGCATACTACACATGATTACACTAATTTGGGCTCTCTGGACAATCAATTTTGAGACAATACATTTAATTATTTAAAATCAAAGATGGGAAAAGTAAAATAACCTTTCCAATTTGAATTCAAACTTTTTGGTACATTTATTGTGACTCAATTCTTTACCTTCCTCTTTGTGAAAAATGGCCATTTTGTAATCCTCCCCCAAATGCAGAATGGAGGGTCCTCTGGGTGACTCAGTTGATTAAGTGGCTGCCTTTGGCCCAGGTCTTGATCCCAGGACCCTGGGATCAAACCCTGCATGGAGCTCCCCACTCAATGAAGAGTCTACTTCTGCCTCTCCCTCTGTTGCTCCCTCTACTTGTGCGCTCTTACTCTCTCTTAAATAAATAAAATCTTTTAAAAATATATTTAAAAACAAAAAGACAAATGCAGAATATAACAAATGCAATAATTTGCATAACAAAAGGCCAGTATGCAAATACATTTCTGAGATGAAAAGAAAATAAGATCTTCTCCCTACCAGTATAAAAAAAGGAAGAAAGAAATTAATTAAAGGCAGTCAAGAAAACAAAATGATGATGCCATCCTTCTATAATCCAAAAGTCCTTTGCATCTAAAGATGTGATCATAGCCACCTAATGGGTGTCTTCAGTAAGAACCCAAGAAACAACTGCTGTTTGCTGGAAGAACTCTGTCAAGGTTTTGCCAATTCCAAGTTACTCTTTCTTTCTAGGTAATCCCCTGTCCTTACCTTTGCTTCTCCATAGTCCACTATGGAAATGAATATTTTAACCACTTTAAGTATTATATTATCATGGGCAAGGAAAGAAAACCAAATAAAACATCTCTAAAGAGTGATAATGTTGCTCTAAAAAACCTGGTAAGAAGTTACTGAGATTTTTATTAATAGATACAAATTTTCTCCTCTTTCTTTTAATGCCCATATTACACTTGATTTGTCAGTTTTAATTTTTCTTCAAAAGCATTAAAACAAAGCCCTTAAGGGATATTAAGGAGACTCATTAAAGACTTAAACTTTGCTCTTAGTTTTCATACAAAATCTGTAAATGATTTCACTATAATATTTCTATTATTTTACAAGAAAAACTGAAGATTAT